CAGCTAACTTCATATTTGGGAATTGGAATTTAAAGTGTACATAAACAAATGATAATTCGTCAGGCACTTTACTCAGGGAGGGTGATAACAGAGACCCACAGCGGCGAGGAACGGCCAGTGATCTCAAACTAATGAAGTCTGACTATTGAAGTATAATTGATAGATAGAATTATATTGTTAACATACAAATTTTGTATGATAAATGTTGAATTCGTTTTTGTTTGAATTGGTAACAAATGTACTTTACATTATTTATATATTTAATGAAATTTTGTGATACTTGTTTTAAAATTTTTAATAACAAAAATAGCGATATACATTTTTTAAAATTTACATTTTACTTCAAATTTTTTTACCTTTCATACTTATAAATATATCGTTTAGCACAATTTTTTGGGGAAAATTTATTGCTCTGCAACAATTTTTTGGGAGACGGACATAGAAGCAGCTTTGCTAATAAAATTTTTAAAAAATTACCTTTATACTTCTAACCACTGAATCTATTACCAACCTTTTAGCCCCAAACTGACAAACAGACATATGGCCTCCAAAGAAAAAACCCACTAATGGGTTTTCACCGCAGGATCCAGAAGCCTCCCCATCGCGAGTTGATAGATCCATGCTTTCGCTATCATTTTCTCACTTTTAATAAGTTGGGAACCCAACAGCAGGGATCCTAATCAGAAGGCATTTAAATTTAAATATGAACAAATTTTTAAATATTAAGTTTAAAAGGGGGTAAGAAAAGTAAGAATACAGTTTTCGAAAAATAATTTAATTAACATGTAAACCCCAAAGTTAGATTTTTTGGGTGCGTTTAAACGCCCCATTATAGTGCAAAAATGCTTAAAATTAACATATACAGTTATAATTGCTTTAAACAAAAAAAATCGTTTCCCGCGGGATTTCGAAAAATTTAAATACTTCTTATAATGAGAAATCTTTTTGATTTCAAAAGAAATTTTGTTTTACATTCTTTCGGGGTTCCCTCGGGGTCAATTAAGCATTAATAATACATGTAATGTTTCCACGAGAGAGGAGCATTCCTTTCATTAAAGACTCGCATTCACTTCAAAAACTAAAGAGGCACACGAAATGTCGAGGAAATATCTTAGCGCGGAAAATTAAAATCTACATGTAGCACTTTTAAAATTTCTCATTTTACACATAAGTGATGGGTCGAAATTCAAAATCAGCCTGACAATCGTCGTGTGGAGTTTTTAACTTTCTGTATAAAAATTACACCAAGAAAAGTAGGAACTACATGGCGTACCTCCTTTATCGAAAAATCGATGGTGGAAACAGGATTCCGTAGAGAGAGAATGTTCCGCTAAATTTACAAAAAAAAAAATCTTCAAATATTATCAATCGATTCACTACACGTTTTATACAAAGAAAGCTTCTACGATAAATGAACTGAAGTGTAAGATCAATGTTTCTTGAAGCATTCCGCCTTTGTTATTCATGAGATTGAAGATTTTATTACTTGAACGTGTACTTTTTTGCCCATGAAAGATTCCGCAGACATTTGATTTCTAATATTGACAGATGATATGGAATCATGAGAGTTGAAAAGTGATTTGAAGTAAGAAACGCAATGTTTGCATTTTTTTTTATCTTAATCTGAAAAATAAACTACAAAGTCTAACATCCAAAATGAGTCCATACAAAAAGAAATCTTAAGACTCAAGTTTGTACTCACACAATTACACGAAATACTTTTTGCCGAAAAAGAAAAAGGCTAAAACAAGACGTTTTGCGATTAAATTGCACTATAAATTGCAACTAGCATAAAAACGTTTAATTACCAATGTTTGTGAGTAAGACTTTTCTGTAATGCCACTCACTGTAAAGTTTATTAATAAGGTTATTCTATATATGTTCATGTTACGTAAAATCGCATTGGAAAATGGATTTTATTTGATTTTTAAATTACGTTTAACGTGTTTCATTAAAGAGTGATTTTTTTTCAATCCACCTATCGCATTGAAAAAACTTAAACAAATGAAAGTTAAAAGACTCGTGCTACTGTTCCATATATATATATAGGCAGATTGAAAATTTTGTAAAATTTGAATTAGCTTAGAATATAATAACAGAAACATTTTAATAAAAAAAAATATGAACTTTTGAAAATATCATAGAAAATTGAAAAAGGATGAAAACTGATTCCCCGCTTGGTTTGCATTACTACAGTTGTATATATACCAAATGAAGACACATTAGTTAAAGATAGCCTCCTCATCTATAAGGAAATGGCATACTTTTAAGTCTGCCAATTTGATAAAGGGTCGGCCAGCTTTTTGTCCCTTTCTCGTAAGAGAAGGGGAATCCTGCATATGATGCGTTTGTGGTCGCACGGTCATTTTCTAACTTTCCTCGTGGTGTATTAGTCGCAGGGTTCACTTTCCAAAATTTGGCCTCATGCGGTTGTGGGTCGCACTCACTTTCCAAATTTTCCTCAGCGTGTATGTGGTCGCACGGTTTACTTTCCTAGCTTGTCCTGTGATGCGTGTATGTGGTCGCACGATCGAAACTCTCTAAAAATGTAAATGTTTTCGGATGCTTCCTGCTGCCAAATATAAAACTAAACCTCATTAAGATTGTTGAAGCATATTAAAAGCTTTCTTACTTTTATTTATGAGTTAAAAAAAAACTTTAAAAGACTTTACCTCTTTTAAATACAAATAAGTTAAGAAGACCTCTTTAGAAATTAAAATAATTTAAATTAAGTTAATTATGATTTTTATGTCTGAACCCTTAATAAGGTATTCTAAAGGTCTTTGTTAGGAGAAGTTACATTATGAAATATTTCGACCCGTAAATCAATTTGTGTACTTTAAAGGCCAGTATTTTTTCTCTCAAATTTGAATATAAAAAAACAAAGTAATTTTTTTCAATGGGGGAAAGTACGAAATTTTAAATTTTTAAATTTTTTTTGGGGGAAAAAAAAGAGGGGTAAAAAAAATTAAAAATAAAGTATGAATGTAATTTCTATATAGGGTTTTTCGAGCGTAAGGGGAGTTTTTCAACTTCACTGTACTATTTTCCAAAGGCTTTAAAAAAAAGGAAGCAATATTTTTAGAAAAAAAATTGTATATTTTTTGATGGTTTCCTTAAATTTTTAAAAAAAATTTTTTTTTTTGTTTCCGTAAGAAGTGTATAGGTAACTCAAATATGAGAAGGCGGAAAAGCAGATACAACACTCCCCAAAAATAACCATATCAAAATACAGTAAAATAAGCGAAGATACTGTGTTAAATAAAGTAGATCTTGCTGATTTGGTGTTGATTAATTAGGTAAACATCTCTCTATCATAAGATAGTTTATCGGTGGTTTATATTGGTTGGTATCTTTACGTATACAAGTAATACAGATAAAGTACTGATAGACTTCATAACCTACTTTCATTGTTTAACCCTGACAACGCTTAATATCTTTAATAGACTTGCCCATATTACAATACGGAGAAAACCAAGGAAAAATTCAAAATATTTACTGACTGTAGTGGCGGCTGACCTTGGTCTACATTGGTTTCACGTGAAGAATCTGTTGTCCCGTGCAGGCTAGGGGTTAAAGGGGCTCACGTGAGGTTTTTTTTTTGTTTTTTTTTTACGGTACTTGATATAATTTTTCGAGATAAATTTTTAATTTGAAGTAGATCTAGGCCAGTTACTTGTGTGCAAAGTTTAAGATCAATCGCTCACTCTGATTTTCCACAACGATCTTGCTCATTCTGAAAAATGACATAGAAAATGAAAAGCGTTGCAACGCTTTTCACTCAAATTCGACTAAGAATATCTCCAAAACACGATTTTCACTTTATTTCCAGGTAAATTTCTTATTTATCATTGGGTATCTTTGTGTGTCCCAGATGATCTGTGTAAGAATACAAAATTTTATGTTTTACTCTTTTGTCCATCAGTGGAGTTCCTTTAAAGCCACCATGTGACAGAATATTATGTTATATTATCAAACGTTTTTTATCGAGTATTATACTATTGCAATATGGCCGTTAATCTTTCAACACAGGTAAGATTTTGTAAATGTTGCAATGAAATCTTCTATTTACTTGACATACATAATTTCATAACCTTACTTTTTTAATCATTGATACAATAGTATATTGTTTAAACCATTAACGGTTTATCTTCGTCATTGAATAATCTAAAACCATTTTTATATAATAATATAATTCAGCGTATAACATGTAGCAAATTCTATTTAAAATTACAACACGATATTTTTTCTCAGCATAATTTGCGGGGAATCATTATTTCACCCAAAAAATAGCGTCTTTCTTCTAACAATTTTTCCAGATTCAACCCACGTGCAGTAACAAAAGTAAAATTGTCAATGCCTTTTTCCGGGTTAAAATATATGGTCATAAGAATCTTTTTTTTTGCGATTATTTTGAAAAATATACATATAACATACTTTTTTCATAAAAACCCTGACACTTGGGGTGTGTATAAACTTAAAATCTATTTTATTCAAAAAAATAATATTATATTTCATACATATATCAATATATTAACGCTATGTTGTACACTGTTCATATTATATCAGTTATCGAGTACACCTGAACAATATCATAATTAATGACAAAATCAATTTTCTTTATAAATAAAAAATAATTACAACATTTTTTTCATCCGTATCAAATAAACATTTCTTTTAAATTTCACTTTCAATAACCATATCGTAATTTTAAAAATTGAACAATAAGTATACTGTAAAAAATATAAAATATGGACAAACTATGTGATCAAAGGAAAAAAAACTTGTATTTTAATTTTACATATTCCCTTTATCCAGGAAAGAACCATTTCCCAAAATTTACGAATTTTAGACGGTGTCCGGGAGGTATTGGCAAGTTTAGAAACCAAATGCAAGTGAATTTGCATTAAACCCTTGTGGGGGGTTGTAAGGCATCTAACCGGATCAATTTTTTGCTTTTTGGGGCCATGCAAAAGCCAAAAAAATACGTTTAAATAGCCAATCTGAGAGTAATAGCCTTTTCAACACCTTTTTTATTTTTATCATGTCAGCACATAAGAAAATTTTTCAGACAATCTTTGCACTTTTCCCTTTAATTTCGAATAATTTGGCTAGATTTACAGTCCAGTCTCATAAAAACTTGATCAGGAGAAATGGTTGGTTTTCCTCTCTTAACTATGGAATGCCGGTAGGGACATGCCACTTTGCTTATTTGCCAACTACTTAATTGCTTATTTGCTAATTGCTGATTTGCCAATTTGCATATTTGCTGATTTGCCATTTTGCTTATTTGCTAATTGCTTCTTTGCTTATACACATAAATTTTTATGCTATTGTCCGACTCGCGAAGTTCTTGTTTGATATAAAATAACAAGTCTTTGTAGACTTTATTTCAAGCTCATGAACCTATATCATGTTATTATGTTTATAAAGTTTTGTTAATTATAACTTATGACAATTATGATCAATCCATTATTACCTAGAATATAGGTAGAAAGACAGATGGATACATTTTTATCAATTTCAAAAAAATAAATTCAGTTTCAGAAAGTAGTTGTTTTTTTTAATTATCTTGAGTTTCATTTTTAGCTCCACTATTCAGAGAATATGGATGCTATTCTACCCACCAATGCATTGGTTTTCTTGGTAACTTGTTTTTCTGTCATATCTCTGTTACTTTTGCTGATTCATGCATCTTACTGCAGCTTTGCATAAACTTTGCGTTACAAGCATGCATAGAAAGTACATGAAGAAGTTGTGCCCGTTATATACTGAGTGTCAAAGTCACCAATGTATTGTACTGAGAAGCCTTTATTTTTCTGTCATATCTCTGTTATTATTACTTATATCTAACTGTAACTTCACATAAGCATTAAATAGGCAGCATGCATACACAATATTCAAAGAGGCTTTGTCCATTAAACCCTAGGTCATGATCATGGTCATGGTCACCTGATAGCATGTAAAATGCACAACATGAAGAAATGGAAAAGTGTGACCAAATTTCAAAAACTTTGAACCAAAGCAAAATGTTGATGCACACACAGACATAAGTGATCTCAAAATCTTACAGAGCTAAAAACGAAGCCTATTGCTTAAGTGCAAAGACAAACACCCGTGTTAAACATGCACCAAATGTATCATTCGTGATACTTTATATGTTCGTACCACTAAAATGAGGCCCTCTGTGACAAATCTGCTGAGAATAACGACATTTTATATGCCATAAAATAAGAAATAGTTTTGTTTTCAAGTTCTTTTATTTTCAATCTTTACCCAATAATTTTCACTTATATATGACTAATCAAGTGTTTATTATGCCATCAATCTCTGACTTAAGCTGCACAAACAGATCTATAGCTGCAACACATTATAAGGCATTCTCAAGCACAGATGCTGGCGGGTCAGATCCTGCCCCTAACGTGATACGCGTCTGTAAACACTATATCAAAACTATTTTAATATTTATTTAAATACGAAATGGACATTTGTTACAACTATAAAACCATTAAGTACTTTATTGAGACTTGGTGGTATATGGTATTTTTTCATACCGGTATATGTAAAAAATGCTTGAAAACCAGTTTTAACGACGTCCAATTCGTGTTTAAATATTAAAATATTTTAAATAGAGTGTTTACAGGGGCACGTATCATGTTGGGGTATGAGATCTGACCCCCAAGCGTCTGTGTTCTCAAGGACATGTCAGCCATCAGTTGTAGACATATATCTGCGTAGGCATCACTGCAACTAAATTCAGTGACCAACAGTATTCTTGGAAAAACACTGAATTTACAAGAATACTGTTGGTAAAAGTTAACAGATCTGACTCAACTAGTTGTCTTTGTCTGTAGTCAGATTTTCCATATACTTCCGGCACAGTGTAAACTATTTCTATTGCAAAAAAGCAAATTAGCAATTGGCAAATAAGCAAATACGTAAACCAGCGGTTAACAAATAAGCAAATTAGCAATTCAGCAATTGGCAACTAAGCAAATTTGTCGTTAAGACTATCAGCCATTGGCAAATTAGCAAATCGGCAATTGGCAAATAAGCAATTCAGCAATTGGCAAATAAGCAAATTGGCATGTCCCTACCGGCATTCCATACTTAACTGATACGATTAAACAAGTTTGTTGATATCCGGGTCATGCTTATATATGACTATGTTGCTATTTCTTCATTACTAAGCTTATATTTTTTAAAATTGCTCATAAAAAGTAAAACTTTTGATGTTGTAAAACATTATAATTCGTGTGATAAATGTGTATTTGTATAAATATATATTATAAATATATACATGTGCAGCCAGAATGAGTATATTTAACTTGAGTTTCTTTATATTATTAAAATTGTGGAGTACATGCATGTATTCCTGTCTGGCCAAAAATGCGTTTGTCTTTACATATTTTATTTGACATAAATATTGCAAAACTCTTAATACAGCTTGTTTCGATAATTGCTAGTACACGTAACCAGTATATACTTCACTTTCACTCAAACCCATTATCCACATATCTATATCATTACCTACTCGTAGAATCCAATATGAAGGCTAATAAGTTGTTTCTTTTATTCCAGTTGAAATGTTTGCCTCCATGGGAAACTTTGGGATAAGTTTGGGATTCCCTGCGGGACTACTCACTGAAAGATTTAGTGTGCGTTGGACATCGTTTGTAGCCACGATAGTGTCAACTTCGGGATTTCTACTTTTATGGTCTACCACATTAAGTAAAGATTTCTACCATGACCATGCTTGGCTGCAGTATATTTACTTCTTTATAGCAGGTAAGAGTACGGGTGAAAGCTGTTGCTATGCGGGTTTTTTTTCCATCAATTGTCATGAAATACATGTAAAGAAATTATCTAGCAGAAAACTGTTTTTACTAAGGGCTCCCAATTATAAATGTTAGATAAGCCTTTCTTAAATTTCGGAAATCTCTCAAAGTTTCATGGCTTACCCTTTACTCTAACAAACATATATAAGAGGGATGATCCAGAATCATACAGAATTTCTGTATTATTTTGATAAATTCCATGCTGCCTGCATTAAATTTATACCTGCGTAATGTTTAATGTTTCAGCTATTTATTTGCAAAACAATCTTGATTAAATGGCATCTATAGTCTGTCCCATTAAAAATGGAAATGAACTTTTGCCTGGTATGAATTAATAAAAACACGTTGAATAAAAATTAAAACTTTTTTGTAAACTAAAAAAAAGTCACCCTCGAGATTTTTCAGGATTTTTCTCTAAAGTGTCTAATTTTCTTGTAAAAGCAAAGTTTCATTTCTCTACGGCAAATCTCTGTTGTTTATTTTCCGTAGCCATTGCCGAAGTACTCTTCATTTGAAGATGAACGGGAGAAAGAACGTGTCATGTTTCTAAAATGTACATGATGTTCTCGGGGTCGTTTCATGATTATTTTACAAAGCTGTATCTTCAAGATGTAACAGTTTCGTTGCAATGCATGATAGAAAACTTTAAAAAATGAATAACAAGCAACAACTTTAACAAGATCATCGAGTCTGTGGAGTAGATTTAGAAATAGCACTTACTTTTAAGCTGAATAGAATCCCTATGAGTTTCGAACTAGATCTTTATAAACGTCACGACAAATTCGCATTCTGAAGATCACTTCATTGCCAGTTTATATCCAGTTCCGTAGACTTTGAAACTCCTGAATGGCATGACATTTACACTTATGATGATCCAGATTTTTTCATAATCCGTCTCATTATTAAAACATTGTTCCGTTTGTGCAGATATCTGGGTTAGCAAATGAAATATGTAAATGAAACACATCATAATCCAGTATGTTCCAAATCCATAATTCAAGAACGGCCCATAAATTTAGTTCGACAGCACAATGTTTATAACTATTAAAAATGGATTCCTGACGAAAAACATTATTACGTCACCAATAATTTACGAAATATATGACGTAACAAAAATGCCTCGCGCTTTTTATGGATGATTCCAGTTGCGGCATTGGCAGAGGGCGGTTAGGCATATGTAACCTCATAAAGATAATTTTAAGCGAGATAAATTTGTCTTGATGGCATTAAAAATAATTTTTGAATACAGTACCCAGATTTTGAAGTAATTGTTAAAAGTACACCTTCAATTCATATATTAACAATAAAACTTTTGATAACATTTAAATAATTTTAAACACACTTATAATGGCATGAATCTATATGAAAGAATACCTCTTCCATTAATTCACATATAACCTTCGTTTTGACTTTATGTTTTTAAACTATTTTATATATTTCTCAGAAATAATTTCCCTACAAATTATCTCGTTATTCAAGAGTTCTGTAAATCCTACTCTTTTAGCTACAAAATATACCCTATGCGGTGTTATTTTCTCTCGCGAAAAAAATATAGCTATTGTTTTTTCACTGAATATTTTCAAATTTTAGGAAGGCTATAATTATTTAGGACATCACTCTGTGTTTCTCTTTGACTCGATATCCCCTTCATATTAACATAGTATGTAACACTTTGAGTCTACAAAAAAAACTTATTGTCCCTGATTAAACGCTCCAATTCAATCTTATTCTTAATAATATCAAACACTGCCGGTATTTCTGGACATTTTGTTAAATTATGAGACGGAAAATTAATCTGTATTTACAAGCTTAAAGTGTATAGGCCAACGTTTGGTTGCTCAAACTAGAAAGCATTTTTATATTCTTATAATTTACATTTTTCCTCGCATGCGAGTCTGTGTTCTCTCATTAGCAAATGAGCTAGTTAAAGTAGACACTGTGCAAAACAATACTAAACATATACTTTCTATATATTTCTTGTCAGATTTGCATGCTAATGTTATATTTGTTGGCGATTTATACGTCAGGTTTATGTTGTGAAAGTTAAAACCTACGAAAAGTTTTAACGCACGAACATCGCACCCGAAATAAGACGGGTAACATATTTTTGTATTCCATCGGACCTGGTTAATTTAATTATTTTTAAATAGACGTGATACATACTAATGGACAGTATTCAGACAACTACAGAATTATGTTAATTAAACATTAGCGAAGAACCATTTTTATAGTCTTCTAGCTAGTGTTCCCGTTCCCTTACGTGGCGCGTTGCGGTATTCAACATACGCGCTTGATTGAAAAGCTATCTAATCAAATCACTTCATAATATTGCTCTTTTTCTCTTAAAAATAATATAAAATATGGTAATTATATAATTATATAAATATTTGTGTGTTATAATTTATCAAATGATTTTAAATTGATTATTTTAAATAATGGTTTGCTAGTAAAATTGCCTTTTCGACACCAACTTTGTTCTCATTTTTCATTTTAATGATAACATTTAGCTATTGATCAGTAAGTAAATAAGAATAATCAATTTTTTATAATTTCCGAGTACATTTCACGCTAATTGTGAGACGAACCCTAAATGACGTCTGTATGGGCGCCGCCATTTTGAAATGGACGTCACGTCAGGTTACAACGTAAGTCAACGGGAAAAAATATAATTTTAACATTTTGACCATATTACTGACTTTATGGAAAAAATGAAAAACATGCCTAGAGATATTGATGTCAGGATTAACATGACATTAATTTAAATGATTTCACTATTATATTTAATAAAAAATGGAATATTCAAATTTGGTGGGACAGACTATAGTACCGTCGCAACCATTGAAACACCCAAGTGGTGCAACTAAAAACAACGCGACGTATATTAACTTTTTTTCGAACACCAAAATGGACCGTGTTAACAATTTGCCGGAGATTTATGAAAACACCTGAAGAAAATGTCATGCTAATATTTCTCGTCATTTGAACATTGGAGTTCTGTGTAATCAAGTTTCAACGTTTTGAAGTGCAACGTTTACTTATTCAGAAACGTCTTTATTAACATAACTTTCATAAACATTTGTAATCACCTCGGATAGTTTCCTTCAGAAACATCTCATCTGGAAAAAAACGCGACACAAGTATCTTGTTAGTCAAAAGTTTTTGAGTGGTATAGAATACTTTTTTCAGACACAGATTTACGGATTAATATAGTGTTTGTTATATGAATGTTTTTTATAAGTATTATTGAATTTATGTCTTAATTGTGGAGTATGCCTCGTTTTGTTTTGTTTTTGTTTTTGTTTTTTGTTTGGAGAAATATTTTCGATATTGTACATTGCATACAAAGAATATTTATTTTACTGTGAATTTAATGGAGAAAATTGTCATATAATTTACTTATTACTAATACACTTTCGTTTCCAGGTTTTGGTGCTATCTTCATGTACATGGCGTCTTTAACGACAAACATGAATAATTTCCAGCCAAAGCATCGTGGAAAGGTCGTGGGAATTTTGGACGCCTCATTTAGTGCAGGCCCTGCATTAATTTCCCTCCTGTACGGCGTTCTGTTCACTAATGGTCACGTGAATGATGAACAGAATCAAAATCTGAAAGGTTTCTATTTGATGTCGGCAATAGCTTTCGGGACAATTGGAGTTCTAGGAATTATACTACTGAGAAGCAATCCTTTTGAAATAGAAGACATCACCTTTCAACGAATGTCCGAAACTGCTAGTGATAAAGAAGAGCACGATTTACCGGAGCGAGAGGGTGACGTCACTGGATTTAAGTTGATTAAAAGTGTTAACTTTCAATTTCTTTTCTGGGCATATATCTTCTGCGCGGGACTACAGCTTACGTATCAAACAAATATAACTGCCTATCTTAAGTCATATGATTTAGAAGGTTATAGCACTCTTTTCACTACATTGAATCCGGTCTTCCAAGTCGTATCAAAGTTTCTGGCGGGCTTTTTGTCCGATGCCATTGTTCACAAGGTACCTAGAATTGTGGTGCTCTTTGCTTTTAACATTTTTCAAACTATTGTTCTGATAATTTGCATATTTTATTCCAATAACCTATCGGTTTTAGTCATATCTCTTATAGGACTCGGAATGCCAAACGGCGCCCTCTGGTGTCTAACTCCCACAATGCTAAGCGAGTTTTACGGAATGAAATACTTCGGTCGTAATTGGGGGACGATAATGTTCGGAAATGCGTTTGGTGGACTACTTTTTCAACGAATTTACGGCTGGATTTATGATAATAGTATTGAATACACCGGACAGACAGTTTGTTACGGACTACATTGCTTCACGTGGAGTTTTACAATGATGGCAGTACTCAGTTTTTGCTCTTGTATTTTTAATGCTGGTGTTTTAGAATCGGAAATCTATGCATACAGATCTTTAAAAAGAGCAAAAAAATCAACGAATGATTGATGCTTAAGAAACGTAAATGCCATTATTTTTTAACATAAATCTGTAGAAAAATGACTCATTGATCTTACTTATATAATTGAAAGTTATTTAAATAATTTCATCATTATGATTTATGAATAATTATTACTAGTTCACGCTTTTCAGTGAACAGTAAAATTATATTTCATAATTTCATCGTCCAATTTTCAAAGTAGCTTGATCATTTAAACAAGAAGTATCTTTAAAAAGATTCTCGGACGAAGTAAAACTGTTATTACTCTTTTTGGTATGCACATGTTTTTTCCGGGATTGTTGACGTTTTTGGTAGTCTGATCATTTTAGAATGTCATTTATAAGTCGGTAAATTCTTATGTTGAATAAGAAATTCACTGTAGAATTAATGAAAATTTTATAACAGTATAAAACATTTATGGGGAGGAAGTTCACAGATCTCAAATATCCGAGAAATTTAACTTGAAACTTTGTCTCCGATACTCCTTTAGATTATTTTATAATTTGGACCTGTACATGTTTACGTTTCAGAAAGATCCTTTAGATTTTTAAACCAATTTTAGAATGACTAATGAGATTCCCGGATTTCAGCTGTAATTTTAAAATGACCAATAAAAATCCTTCATTTGTTTTTGTATGAAATCTTTATTTCTGTTATTTAAAAAAACATCAATATATCTTGTTTATTCTTTGCATAATCGACTGCATTACTAAAACAGTAGCAAAAAAATAGGGATAGATACTGTAACTCCATTCTACCAATCGGAACGTCCTCGGCTATTTACTAAAATAACCTCGGAGTTTAAACGATGTAAACAGAAATCTTTGATAATGTGAAACTAATTTATATATATTTGACATCCAAACGAAGATAAAGATTAATTCGGTACAATTATGATTGAAAATATGTCTGACAACCATTTTTAATTTAGATATGACCACTAATGTACACTTTTCAACAAATCCGACTTAATGTCAACGGGTCGGCATTTTGTACTTTCGGTTAATAAATATATAAGTAATGTATTGTTTGCTTTTGTATGTAGGAATTTACTTATATTAGGTTGACTTTTACTTGATATATGGGGGGAAAAAAGCAGTAAATTACTATTTGTTTACAGCGTACGTTAGACCGAAATACCGTATCCGTTCTGTTGTGTTCGAGGTCGTTATCCGAAGACTGACGGAAAGGGCCGAAAAGTTGCGATTGCCATTCAACATGGGCACATGTCACAACAGTGGTTCGGAAAAAATCATTGTATCCGGTACGCCCGGAATCGTATATCAAGTTTTGTCAATGAGTAGACCCTAATCATATTTCAAGCTAAAGTTTAAATCGATATATTGGTTATCATATATATGATATAATTAATCAATTATAATTTTGAGTGCCACAAATCACAACAAATATCAAAACAAAAGCAGTTTATTCTTTTCCCTCTATTTTTATACGATCCCGGATTCGGATTCCGTGCGTTCCGGGTTACAGGTCGCGATATTGCCCTGTACAATCACGTGATACTAAAATTAGTAAGACGGTACACTGTAAAAAATTACCGTAAAATTTTACGGGAAAAGTTCTGGCAGCTGGTTTTCAGGACTTCCCCGTATATTTACGGGCTATCCGTAACATGTTTTGGCGTAAAAATACTGGTCAAGCAGTAAAATTACAGGCCTTAAACATTACGGAGGTCCAGTAAATATACGGATCAATGCTGGAGTCCAATTAAAATTAGCATAATTTTATTACCTGCGGTCTGGAGACCGCAGGGTATTGGTACGCGTTTAGCTTTTAAGGCATGGAGGAACACGTGACCTGTTTTCGGTACATGGAGGAGCATGTGATCTGTAAACCGTACATGATTGGTTAATTGACCTTTTCGAAAACCTAGCTAAATATCGTTTTGCCGGTACGTTACGGATTCACCTCTAGGGAATTAGTTCGAATAACATCTAATAAAGAACAAAAAATTTCTAATTTTCTATAATTATTTTACCGTTTAAGGTAGAAAATCTTGAATGATGTGTTTGAAAATTATCAATGTTTCTTTAAAATCTATCTCAAATTTTACAAACCATAAATTGACTGAAAATCTACAAAATTAAAATATTCGTAGTGGCATCTGCCATAATAAATAGATATTTTCTGCGTAAACTTGTGTGTTTGCTTTATTCTTTGTTTGCTCGGAATTATTCATAAATGGTAGGCATATTTAATCATTTTCTTAAAAAGAAATAATTATTTTATGTTCGACTTTCTCCGGTCTTCAACGGTCACCAGTTTCCAAAGGCCTTCTTCTATATTGATCGATTATTGTCAACCATATTCCTGATACAAACGTTTATTTATCCCCCCCAAACAATGTTGAAAATAGTTCAATGAATAAAAAATGTTCCCCGCAGGAAACCATTTTACTTGTAAAAGCTTTAAATCGGGTAATCAAATGACATTCTGAAAATCAATTAAATACAACTTTTTGTTCTTTGAAAATCGAAACAAAAAATCCGTAACGAGCAAATTCTTGTACTAATTAGGATTTTTTGTAAGACATATTTTACCTCTTGTCACACTTAGTAAAATGGCTGCCGTGGAACGCTATCCGCAATGCAACGCAAACGAGGGTCCGATACCGTATAATAGTGTACGGGCTAACCCGTTACGGAATACCAGTAAACGACTATAAATTTAACGGTAATTTTTTACAGTGTATTTTTCTGTTATCTTTTGGAGGCCTGCTGCTTTAAGATTAATGCGTATTTCCATTTCATGATGTTAAGAAATTCGGCATATTTGGCCAGTATTAATGAATGTCTGTTTATAAGTTGGTTTCTTTAATTTGCTGCACAGGGGACACGCATAACATACATTTTATTTTCGGCATATTTTTCTAAATCATAGGAATTGCTTATCCAAAAGATTCTATTTATGACCTTTGCAAATACATTCTAAAACGATATAATGATTTCGTAAACTTAAATTTACCATTTACATTTATGACTACTGTATACGCCAACATCACTATATATTACTAGTTTATGAAATATGTAAAACACGATTTTTTTTATGTTAACTCGCCTACATAAAGGCAAAACAAAAAACAAAACAAAAAACGGTCAATAAGAAGCAATAAAAAGGACAAGCAAACTTACCGTATTCATGTCTTGAATATATTCTTCATTTGGTATTCAAAGCTTGAAGAAATATAATTCCTAAACTTATTCTTTACAGTCATTTTATTTATTCAGATAAATGCCAACTGAATACATTATCACGATGTATCCATAGTTTGGATAAGATCGTTTGTTTTTGTATAGGAACGTTTAATCTGTAGACGCTTAATCTCAAAGGCTGAACTTGAAATACTAAACCATAAAATCTGGAAGAAGGGTGATCTCTTGGAAGCAATGCAAAAACAACAAACAACAACAAACAAACAGTGTTACATGTATATAACAATTGCAGACTCGGTTTTGATTTCAGTGTGTTCAAGTGAGATTATGTAAACGTGCAACATATCTCATCCCCCCAGCACCGTCTTAATCGGAAGTCAATATGCAACACTAATATGCTAGAATAAATGATTCTAAAGGACTAGAAAAATATAACAATACTATTTTTACCTTGTGTCAAATAATAAATTGATATAACAGTACAATAACATAGAACGTGTATCATGCATTTAAGAACATTTGCATTTTACTAATAAAATCTTCATTGTAAAGAATATCACTTTTACTTATGTCCAGTTGTTATTTTAAAAGCAAAACAATCATATTATTCCATATTCCTTTTTTACAAAATGTAAAGAATGTTTTAACAGTGACTAATATCAAAATAAAGAAAAACAAAATCCGTGAAATTGAAAATGTTGCAGGATTGGTTTGATTAAGCCTGTTCATGGACGGCATTGGAAATTACAATCTAACGCCCACGCCCAATAGCACCAGCTTAAGTAGAAGCCACTATTGAAACATATACGGGTGGTGACACTTTGTGGATGTGCAGACTCAATCAAACCGAGGCTACAATTTTCATGTTATTTTGTTGTTATCAATGCTTCCGAAGTATCACCCTTTTTCATAGTTTTTGGAATTTAGTCTTAGTGTTAACCTTTGATGATACATGTACATCTTAAAATCATTTTGTTCCGTTTTAAAGGAGTCATTCGGTATTTCAGGCACCGCTTCCGTTTTCACTCGGAACACTCGACGTTTATTATTAACCCGAAAGTTGCGTCTTTTCCGTTTTCGGAATACTCTGCCTTTTATCATTGATTTACATTGAAAATGGCGGCGCCCAACAAGAACTGACACTGAAAATTTCATTGATAAGTATAGAATAATTTTCCTTAATTGTTTTTTTATTTGATTTCCTTTTAAACATACGCGTGTAGTCTATAGCCGGGCAAGCCTAAGCCCGGGACAGCTTCACGGTCCCGTAATAAATGTGAGTACTGAAAGATATATATCAACTGTTTCCATATTTACAATAAAACTTTATCTTATGAAGTATTTGCTTTCAAGTCAAATCCATAACGTTGTCTTTATTTAGCCACTTTCAAACCTATTAGTAAAGAGAAACGGCATGAGCTTTTTTCTAGTAAACACAAACACCTGAATGAACAATTTTCTCCATCAACGTCTTTATCAAACCAGAATATGAAGAAGCAATTTGTTTGACTATTATAGACAATTCATCTACACTTCTATTACTCTCGTGAAACTATGAGTGAATGTTTAGTTGAGAAGGTTCAAAGTCTCAAAATGAATGTAACGAAATACACGGCTTTATCGAATAACGCTGAGTCAGTAACGCGGAGTCGTCGGCTAGTAATTTCCTTACTGCATCAATTCTGTTTTTATTCTAATTTAGTATATGAGAATACTTAGACGAACATGCCTATGTGTTCCTCAATAAGTAAATTTCAGCATTAGAAAAAAAGCATGTCTGAAGTATATCTTAAAATAAATGATGATTCAAATCGAGAAAATGATAAGTTGTAAAAAAAGACCTGGTCCAGTTGTTCAATTTGCATACGTTTGTTTGTTTGTTTTGGGTTTTACGTCACATCGACACAGTATAGGTCATATCACGACGCTCCAGCTTTACTGGTGGAGGAAGACCTCAGGTGCCCTTCCGTGCATTATTTCAGGCACGAACGGGCACCTGAGTAGAACCACCGATTTGCATACGTGTTATCAGATAAAATCAGTAAAAAAAATCAAACAAATATTATCTCCTCACATTTTACCGGACATAACTAACTTGATAACGTGATTATCATGTGCATATGCTAGATTAAACAGATATTGACCTTAGTTTTGGATCTTAGATTAACTTCAGGTATCCCTTATGGGTCCGTAGGAGTAGGGATTAATCATTATATAAAATCTCTATTGTCACTCGTATATTTCTTTCTATTTACTTTTTGTTATTTATTTGTTTTGCTAAAGGACATAAGACCGAAACCTTTTTTATACAACTACGAGTGACAATAGAGTTTTTGGTTGTTGAATTTTGTGCTAGTGTTCGCGGACTGTCGTTTGCATTTGTCAGTACCGTCTATGAACAGACTCAATCAAACCAAGCCTGCAACATTTTCAATTTTGCCGTTTAGGACTTAATTTGGGGATTCTTATTTTATCTATTTTAGCTTCACCTGATATGCTCCACTGCTGCCTTGATTATCTAGAATACAATGATTTTTTTTGCAGTTTACATGCTTAATAATAAAGAATTGAAAGTTTTTCATTAACGCTTTCTATACAACTGATATTAATAGACTGGATGGGTTATTTAGATAGAAAATCGACAGTTGACATTTACCAACTTATATACGGCTTTCTAATGTTGTTTCTTTTCATCTCTTGAATACATTCTGTTGAGCAGGACTAAATACTGGCTCCAAAATATAATAGGCTATTTGCTTATGGTAATTTGGCTGCAGCAAAACTACACTAAAATGCACGAAATTGACGTGGCCTGAGACGACATATGACATATGAATAAGCTTAGTGACAT